CACCCCCTGGGCCAGATAAGGAGAGAGGGCAGTCAGGTGGAGAACCCAAATAGCTCCTCATCCAGGACTGAAAATGTGTGTTGCCTGGCTGTTCAGGAGTATCGGGGGACCCAAAACTCAGCGATTCTAAGGGGGTAGTGCTACACTGGTAAACTAAAAATGCCATTTTAATTTCTGTATTTCTCTTTTTTATAATAATCATAGGATTTACTTTGACTGTTATTCATTGTTAAAGTGAGATCCCAGAAGAGCCAACTCTTGCGTCCCACTTAACCTTGACATTCCTGATCTATATAAGGTTTATTTTGTATACTTAGCCTATTATGATTTACTACATATAATCAGAGAGGAAAAATTAGATCGGCAGTCATTTAAACAGGGCAGGAAGCTATCATAAAACATCATAGTTTACTTTGAAAACCATAATTTATTTGAATTTACCAGGAGCATGAAGTGGCATACATATAGTTTTCATTTGGTTTTCCACAGAAACATTTGTGATTTTTAAGTCCAATTATGGACATATAAATTCTGGAATCTGTAAAATAATCAGCTGAAATACAGGTTTATTATTAGCCATTATGTCTTTTAGAAATGAAAAATATTCCCTCAAACTTCAATCACATTGTTTCCATCTTTGATAGATACGTCAATTTATCAATCAGCTTTCATGTGTTAAACATGTTGTTTAAGGGAATGACATGCATGCGTTTATTCTGTGTATAAAAATTAAGCTGTTATTACAGTATATCATAGGCATGGTTTCAGTTATTGAAGCCAGTTTGGTCCCACCTGCATGTTGCATTGATTTTACATTGCACTTTTACATGAGCATTTACATGTTTTTAAGACACATTACCACTGAGCTCTATATACCTGCCATATTTTATTAGACGAAAAATGGGGGAAAAAGACTATGCATAAAATGTTGCTGGCGGTCATTGACCAAAACCTTGTTTTGCAAAAACATTGTGCCACATGCTTCCCCAATTCCGGTATAACCCATCATTGCATTGAATTTATATAGTTATTTATTTTACAAATAACACATACTGATTCTGATATAGAATGGAATATATATTGCTGGCTATGCCCTATGGTACTGCGTCATGCTGCCACTGCTAAGGAAAGGTGATATCACTGACTCTTTCAACAGTCTATACCATTTCTACACATAACCCTTTTCACCTGAAAGTTGCCATTACCTGAAAGCCACCATCCACATGACTTTTCTTAAGGCAACAAATCATGAATGATGAACAACAGGGAAGAGAAAGCAGATTTTGTACATGCACTAGGGGCTGCGTTAAATATGTTTTTTAAGATGAGTTTAAATGTAATTTGGGAGGTTTTTCTTATCGCCTCTACAATAGTCGAAAACAAAACTCACCTAGTACTTCTATATTCCAACAAAGGAAAGCAAACTCATAAAATACAGGTGCATGGAATCATAGAAAAGACAATAATGTATATTTAATCAAATTTGTTTTTCATCTTTGATGGAATAGGGAAGGCCTAGAACAGGCATGTCCAAAGTCCAGTCCGCGGGCCAATTGCAGCCCGTGTTCTGGTTTAATATGGCCCCACAGGTAATTTGGCAATATCTGAAAAGGAGAAAAGCACCTCTAAGTGCAATATGTGGTACATTTATTGAGGAACATAATGAGAAACACATGATGAAAGAAAAGGAAAGGCTTAGGCATATGTGGTGAAAGCGAAGGACATGGTGGCGTTCTTGATGTATACGCAGTAGTAAGTGCTGGAGGAGACTCAAGATGTTCACAGGGAGCTGGCCGGCATGTGTGAGATCCAAAGATGGCGTCCTGAGTCCACCCTGGAGTGCAACCTCGACATCAGCGTGATGACGTAGGGATGTCCAGCATGCAATATGACACATTACGGAGCATGCGCGAGGCCGATGAAAGTCAAAGGTGTGCTCCCTTCTGAAGCATTGAAGGAAATCAGTGAGAGTAATTTCACTTTTTTTTTAGGGGGAGAAACAAGTACAGATTTCATATATGTCATGACCAACATCAGTCGCTCCTTTATCCATTCATTTTTTTTTGTGCCGTAAAATGGTTGGCCCTCACGCATGTTCACTTCATCAAATCTGGCCCTCTTTGAAAAAAGTTGGACACCACTGGCCTAGAAACTTTCTCAGGTTTTTTTTTTTTTGCTATGTCCTCAGTGGAGAGATTAACCTTCTATAGTACAGGTGTCCTAGTAAACATAGTCTCCAGGACAGAGAGTGCCGAAAGATCCATTAAAATTGAGCTGTCAATGGAATTGGAATAGAGAGGAAATCTTCCAATAGTTGCCCTTTTTACAGTGACAGATGTCCAAGAGGGGATTTCCTTCATTTTGGAGAGATTTCTTCTTACATACTATTATATTGACATAAAAAAACACTGAGGATTAAAACATTTTCTATTCCAAAAGGAAAAAAACTTTGGAATTCACATATACTTAGAGGTTGATTTGCTAAGGGCAAATAGGCTGTTCAGTTTGCAAATGAAGTGTTCTTTAGCTGGTGAATGAGTTGATAGAAGTAATTCACTTTAGAAACAATATACTCAAATCACATGCAAGGAAAAAAATGTACAGTCTATTTGCCTTTAGTAAGTTAACCTCTTAATGTGTTTTATTGCCTGTAAAGTTCCAAATCCATTCTATGTTTTTATTAGAATGGAAGAGTCACGTGATCCAAAAAATAGATTTGTATGCAACTCAGGCGGCTGCAGTTATGAGTAGTGCCAGTTCTGTATGATTCTCACAACTGTATCAAAATTGTAAAGGTCTTCTGATTATGGTTAAGATTCTCACCTAGGCTGGTTGCAGATCTTTGCATGTCAGTAATATAAGCAAAATGATGTGCTTTCCCGACACACATCAATTTTTTACTGGCACCACTGTGCATCTGAAAACACATGGGTTTTTGGATGCACCAAAATGCTTGGTGCTGCAGCACCATGCAGTTCAGTGCGTCGCATTTTTGGAAAAGAGTCAAGTTTCTTGCACATAGGACAGTCCAATGAAATAAATTTGCTGCCCTACTTGTGTCCATGCTTGGTCTTTTTTTTCTGAATCTAGATGGACTCTGAGTTAATTAGATGTAAATGGATGCACATCTCCTTACAATCTTCTTATAAAAAAATTCATTTTTCAGTTTGATCGTAACCCGCTTGAATGGGACCTTAAACAAAAAATGTTTACAAATACATTCACACACTACTTTGGTTAGTGGATAGATTTTATTAAAAGGTTCACATAATGCTTGGAAATAAACAATGACACTGGTATGAAAATGCATGTTTATCTGATGTGTGTTATTTGACTTAGGATAGATTGTACAGCAATGATCACTGAGGATAATGTCTGTAAGAGAAAGAGGAAGGAGATGAGAATGAAGATGGGAACTTAGATTTAACAAAGAAAGAATTATAATACTGACAATAAAAGAAAGATGATATTCTATAAAATGAAGGAAGGTGGAGGTGTGACCTCTAGCAGCCAATAAGATATTTACGTTCAACTTTAACCAAACTAAAAAATAACAGTTGCGTTACTTTGGTTTATTATTAAATCAATTGTATTGCGCTAGCCTTTGATACTAGTTTATGGGTATTGGTGTTTGCTGCTGCCAGATGAACTCACTCTTAGGTTTACTCCTTTTAATTTGAGTAAAAGGTCAGTGTACTTAGTGTATGCTAGTAGTGGGAGCTAAGGGCAAAGTTAAACCTGAAAAAATAAACAAATAATAGAAGCTACAAAAAATGTAGCTGTTGACTTTTAAGATACAGACACTTACCTGTCCCTTGGTCCAGCGGTGTCCTCACCACCACTGGTTTCACTGGCCGTCTTCTCTCCCTGGCACCTTCAGTGTGGGCACCTGTGCATTGACAGCTTGCGACTTCAAAGCCAGGTGCCCACTGCGAATGAGCAAGAAGTGCTGCACTTTTTGAATGGCCCCCTAGTCTTCTTGGACCTGTCACTTATCCCAGAAGACTATGGGGAGGGAGGGGACAATCGCAGCGGTAGTGGGAGTGGGTACCTGTCAAATTTGGGTACCCGCTCCCCCTCTCCCACTCCCCAAAGGTGCCAGTCCTTAATGGGAAGCGGGGGACAAAGGCTTAAAGTAGAACTTCCCCTTTTGGATGGAGCTCCACTTTAACCACTTGTCCTCCAGAGGATTTACCCCCCTTCCTGACCAGGCCATTTTTTGTGATACGGCGCTGCGTTACTGTAACTGACAATTGTGTGGTCATGTAATGCTGCACCAAAATGGAATTTATGTCCTTTTTTCCCACAAACGCATCTTTCTTTCGGTGGTATTTGATCGCCTCTATGTTTATTTTGAAAAGACTGACAATTTTGAAAAAAAAAACATTGTTGACTTTTTGATATAAAACATATCCAGTAAAAAAAATGATAAAAATCAAATTTCAGCATAAATTTAAGCCAAAATTTATTCTGCTACATGTCTTTGCAGAAAAAAAATCCCAATACATGTAAATTAATTGGTTTACGTGAAAGCTATAGCGTTTACAAATGTGTTGTTTACATACAGACCTCTCCCCTGTCAGTGTTCCTCAGCGACCGCAGGGTGCCGGCAGGGAATTTGCGGCCAGGACCCGGTGATCGACAGCTGTAGCTGCCAATGGTGGCACAGTAGGGCGGTGCGTGTGCTCCCTACCCAGAAATAACGTATATATACGTGATATTGCTCAGTCCTTCTGCCCTGTAGCAGTAGTTCTGCTATAGGGCAGTCGGGAAGCGGTTAATTCTATATAATATCTCAGTTTATTATTGGCAGCACTTCTTTTTTTTTATCTACATCTATGATGCAAATCCAGAGAGGTTCGCTTTGTTGAGAACGGAGAGCGGAAGTTCCAGTATCCAGATATAACAAAACCTTTATAACTATGAAGAGAAAAAAGGAGAAGTATAAACTGATGTAGATTAGATACTGAAGCAGGAAGGGAAATGGAAACTCACGGGAGTTAATGCCGGCCGTCTCTTTCTCTCTCGTGGAAGACAATACAGTCCGGGTTCAACACAATCTCTTCTTCCTGCTCAGGTTCACAGCTCTGCATGCAACAAAAAATACATGCATGATAAATTAAAAACCTGCAATCATGACAAAATGTCCCAGTGAACTTGTAACAGAATCCTGCACTTAGACAAACATCATCATGTTAGGGTTCCACCAACAGCAAGAACCACATAAGGTCCACCCTCAAAAATATTACTTATGCAGGGTGGAAGGGGTTACTATATAATATATAAAATTGGCTTGAGGGCTACAAATAAGAAGACAATTGAGGGAGACTGAGGAGCAACTGAGACTCAAAGGAAAACTGATAAGAATGGCCACTTTAGGTTAGATAAATTTCCTACTGTTATGGCTAGCCCGCATTCTCAAAAATGCTCTACTCCAGCATTTACATATTACCTTGTAATATACAATATACCTTGTAAAATATTCCTCAGAAAGAAAGCTTATTCCCCAGTATCTACCCTGTCTAGCAGGATGTTACTTGATTAATTTACATATTATGGTCTTTTTTCAGGCCTTTCCTGGTTTCTTATTCTTAGCTTGTAGTCCCTGTGATTCAACCCGTGGAAAGTATATGTTTTTGAGGAACCTCATGTGTCCTTCACCTGCCCTAAGCCGGTTTTTGCACCCCCATACCTGATCTCTGGAGATTGCGGTTCTTGCGTGTGGCCTGAGGGACCTGCCTTTTTGGGGCCTGGGGAGTTCATCATTGCCCAGTGCATGCTGCTTAATTTTGTAAGTGAATACAATCAATTTATATATTATGCGGTTTTGCAATCTTCTATGCATATCCATATTGTCTAAGTATATTTATCCTCCCTAGATATATTGCTAGCCCCTGAGGAAGCGATGGTTGTCACGAAACATGTTGGGCATTGCCTGCACAGCTTGAATATTCCCTACCTTTTTGAAGGAATACTTTGTTGGTGCCACTCATACTGCTACCATCTTTTGTAATCATTCTATGTGGTTGGTGGGTTACGGGATATTAGCTGTGGGCTAATTGTGCAATGATATTATACAAGATACATTTTAGAGGTGATGTGATGTTAATAAAGGAACATTGGATTTTATCTTTTCATGTGCTGAGTTTTTGTGCCTAGAAAGTCCATTTCCATATTTTTCCTTTCAATATGCTATACAGGGATGTGGCACTTTGTTACCAACCGGGATTTGGCCTCCTACCACCTGAGGGTCACCCCAACTTTCCAATATTCGTTGAAAAATAGCTCAAGCTCTGTCAGATTGGATGGAGAGGATCTGTGAACAGCAACATACTGTAAATATGCTTTAATCGAAACCATTGCATTGTAGCTCTGGCTGTATGCTTAGGGTAGTTGTCCTGCTGGAAGGTGAGCCTCCACTCCAGTCTCAAATCTTTTGCAAACTCTAACAGGTTTTCTTCTATGATTGCCCTGTATTTGGCTCCATCTTCCCATCAACTTACCAGTTTCCTTGATCCTGCTGATGAAAAGCATCCCCACAACTTGATGCTGCCACCACGTTTCATGATGGGGATGGTGTGTTCAGGGTGATATGTAGTGTTAGTTTTCGACCACACATAGCGTTTTGTTTTTAGGCCAAAAAGTTAAATTTCGGTCTCATCTGACCAGAGCACCTTCCTCCATATGTTTGATGTCCCCCACATGGCTTCTCACAAACTGCAAACAGGATTTCTTATGGCTTTCCTTCAACAATGGCTTTCTTCTTGCCACTCCTCCATAAGGGCTAGATTTGTGGAGTGCATGACTAATAGTTGTCCACAGGGGCAGATTTTCCCACCTAGCTGTAGATCTCTGCAGCTCCTCCAAAGCTATCATGGGCCTCTTGGCTGCTTCTCTGATTAATGCTCTCCTTGCCTGACCTGTCAGTTTAGGTGGACGGCCATGTCTTGGTAGGTTTGCAGTTGTGCCATACTACTTTTCCATTTTCGGATGATGGATTGAACAGTGCTCCGTGATATGTTCAAAGCTTGGGATATTTCTTTACAACCTAATTCTGCTTTAAATTTCTCCAAAACTTTATCCCTGACCTGTCTGGTGTGTTCCTTGGCCTTCATGATGCTGTTTGTTCACTTGCTCTTTAACAAACCTCTGAGGGCTTCACAGAACAGCTGTATTTTATACTGAGATTAAATTACACACAGATGGACTCTATTTACAGTTGCAAGAAAAAGTATGTGAACCCCTTGGGATTACGTGGAGTTTTGCATGAATTGGGCATAAAATGTGCTCTGAACGTCATCTAAGTCACAACAATCGAAGAACACAGTCTGCTGAACACATACTACACAAACATTAGATGTTGCCATGGTTTAATTGCACATAACATGTAAACATTCACATTGCAGGGAGGAAAAAGTATGTGAGGCCCTAGCTTAATGACTTCTCCCAGAGCTAATTGGAGCCAGGAGTGAGACAACCTTGACTCCAATCAGTGTGATGATATTGGATGTGTTGCTGACAGCTGTCCTGCCCTTAAAAAACACACACCTGTTTTGGGTTTACTGGTTTCAAGAAGCACTGTCTAATGTGAACCATGCCTCGCAGAAAAAGAGCTCTCAGAAGACCTACGATCAAGAATTGTTGACTTGCATGAAGCTGGAAAGGGTTACAAAAGTATCTCCAAAAGCCTTGATGTTCATCTGTCCACAGTAAGACAGACTGTCTACAAATGGAGAAAGTTTAGCACTGTTGCTACTCTCCCTAGGCGTGGACGTCCTGTAAAAATGACTGCAAGAGCACAGCGCAGAATGCTGCATGAGGTAAAGAAGAATCCCAGAGTGCCAGCTAAAGACCTACAGAAATCTCTGGCACATGCTAACATTTTTGTTGACACATCTACAATAAGGAAAACATTAAACAAGAATGGAGTACATGGGAGGACACCACGGAGGAAGCCATTGCTGTCCAAAAAGAATATTGCAGCACATTTGAAGTTTGCAAAAAGCACCTGGATGTTCCACAGCACTACTGGCAAAATATACTATGGACAGATGAAACCAAGATTGAGTTGTTTGGGAAAAACACACAACACTGTGTGGAGAAAAAGAAAACAGCACACCAACATCAAAACCTCAACCCCACTGTAAAACATGGCGGAGGGAGCATCATGGTTTGGGGCTGCTTTGCTGCCTCAGGGCCTGGACGGATTGTTGTCATTGATGGGAAAATGAATTCCAGAGTTTATCAAGACATTTGCAGGAAAACATACAACCATCTGTCCGCCAACTGAAGCTCAGCAGAGGATGGGTGATGCAACAGGACAATGACCCAAAGCATGCAAGTAATTCAACAAAACAATGGCTGCAACAGCACAGAATACGCCTTCTGGAGTGGCCCAGTCAGAGTCCTGATCTCAACCTGATTGAAATGCTGTGGCATGACCTTAAGAGAGCGATTTACACCAGACATCCCAAGAATATTGCTACACTGAAACAGTTTTGTGAAGAGGAGTGGTCCAAAATGACTCCAGATCGTTGTGCAGGTCTGATCTGCAACTACAGGAAACGTTTGGTTGAGGTTATTGCTGCCAAAGGAGGGTCAACCAGTTATTAAGTCCAAAGGTTCACATACTTTTTCCTCCCTGCACTGTGACTGTTTACATGTTATGTGCAATTAAACCATGGCAACATCTAATGTTTGTGTAGTATTATGTTCAGCAGACTGTGTTCTTCTATTGTTGTGACTTAGATGACGTTCAGAGCACATTTTATGCCCAATTCATGCAAAACTCCACGTAATCCCAAGGGGTTCACATACTTTTTCTTGCAACTGTACTAATTAGGAGACTTCTGAAGCCAATTGGTTCCACTAGATTTTAGTTAGTATCAGCATAAAGGGGGCTGAATACAAATGCACGCCACACTTTTCAGATATTTATTTGTAAAAAAATTTGAAAACCATTTATCATTTTCCTTTCATTTCACAATTATGTGCCACTTTGTGTTAGTCTATCACATAAAATCCCAATAAAATACATTTATGTTTTTGGTTGTCACATGGCAAATGTGGAAAATTTCAAGGGGTATGAATACTTTTGCAAGGCACTGTATAACCACTGTACTCTGGTTTATTTTTGGAACTGATAAACAATTGTGGTTTTTTTTTTTACAAAATGTTCTGTACCTGTGCTGTGCTGCATGCCGCAGATCCACATATTTTCTTCTTACTCTGTAACTCCCGGGAGACCACACAAAGAAACTCTGGTTGTCCTTCACTGCTGTAATTATATGGGGAGCCCACATTCACCAACTGCAGACATAGTACAAACAAATATGAAACAAAAGCTATTTTGTGCATTGACCTTCAGAACTAAAGGAGGTCTGTTACTTTTCGCTTCTCTTGACAGGCCAGACCTTCCTTCCCACTGATACTCTCCTATGCCACTCAACGATACCAGCTATGGAGGAACATGTGACCTTCTCTCCTTCCTACCAAGATGCAGTGCTTGGACCAATCACCAGGCCCAAACACTGAAAGGAAGAAGGTCATCATGCTGTGCAGCCACTCGGCACAGGACCCAGAGAACTGTAATGATAGTGTGGTATCAGCAAATACCACGCTGATTTCTAGGTTCTACAGGGAACCCACAGGTATGAAAAATAGATTCTTACATACCTGGATTTTAGCTTTAAGCTCACCACACATACTTCACAATCTGATGGTGCAAACTTCTTTAGATCTACCAACACGTATGTAGTGCAAAGTCCTGTCTGTTTAGATATAGATTGATTAAATAGTTTAGAGAGGTCATCTTATTACTATTGGCAAAATAAAAGTTGATTATGTACATTGTATGGTCAGATTGTAACATGTACGGTGAGTTTAAAACTTTATTTTTGTATTTTGTGGGAAGTGGGAAGATTAAATTTTTTGGTTAAGCATTTATTGCTGTCTGTGACCCTGTTGGGGAGATTTATCCTACTTCTTGTCCAAGTGACCACGGGACAAGAAATAAGAGGAGCAGTTGTCACTGCCACAGCCAGTAATAATAGTCTGCCAGAGGTTCTAGCCCTTCACCTTTTTACTGAAAAAAGGTCTTTTGTTGCAGTCTGTTCCCTCAATGAAGATATTTCCCATCACTTCCTATAGGATCACTTACTATAAAGGTCAGGGAAAAAGTCAGTGCTATGGTGTAACTAGCAGGCTGCTGGCAAATTAGGAATTGATATACAAATCCTAAGAAATCTACTTTAAGTCCTCATGCATACTGGATGTTTTTACAGTTGCTGTTTTTGGCTTTTGATGTTTTTTTTTTTCTACAGCTAGTAAACCCCCCAGTATGTTATCCTATGTGTCCATGCACACATAGACTGTAATCAACGTTTTTTGGCTGGAAAGAAACCCCAGGACTAGTGGGTTTCTATGGGAGTTTTTTTAGCCGTAAAAACGCTCTAACGCTGAAAAACGTGGTAAAAAAAATATATTTGTCCCAAAAAATGCTAAAAAAACGGAAAAAAACGGAAAATGCTGCTAAATGTGGCAAAACTCCGCTAAACGCTAATGCAAAAATGCTAAAAAAAAAAAGCTGAAAACTCACATTTTTAAAGTGACTTTACACAGCTAACGTTACCAGTGTTATCAAAACACCCAGTGTGCATGGAGCCTTTAAAATATTTGCAGTGTCAAAGGAATTTTATATATGTACATCCAAATATAAATCACACTTTCATTGACAATGTATATAAATAAAATACAGGTGAAACTCGAAAAATTAGAATATCGTGCAAAAGTTCATTTATTTCAGTAATGCAACTTAAAGGTGAAACTAATATATGAGATAGACTCATTACATACAAAGCAAGATAGTTCAAGCCTTGATTTGTCATAATTGTGATGATTATGGCTTACAGCTCATGAAAATCCCAAATCCACAATCTCAGAAAATTAGAATATTACATGCAATCGATAAAACAAGGATTGTACATAGAACAATATCAGACCTCTGAAAAGTATAAGCATGCATATGTATTCAGTACTTGGTTTGGGCCCCTTTTGCAGCAATTACTGCCTCAATGCGGCGTGGCATGGAAGCTATCAGCTTGTGGCACTGCTGAGGTTTTATGGAAGACCAGGATGCTTCAATAGCGGCCTTCAGCTCTTCTGCATTGTTCGGTCTCATGTCTCTCATCTTTCTCTTGGCAATGCTCCATAGATTCTCTATGGGGTTCAGATCAGACGAGTTTGCTGGCCAATCAAGCACAGTAATCCCACGGTCACTGAACCAGGTTTTGGTACTTTTTGCAGTGTGGGCAGGTGCCAAGTCCTGCTGGAAAATGAAGTCAGCATCCCCATGAAGCTCATCTGCGGAAGGAAGCATGAAGTGCTCCAAAATCTCCTGGTAGATGGCTGTGTTGACCCTGGACTTAATGAAGCACAGTGGACCAGCACCAGCAGATGACATGGCTCCCCAAATCAACACAGACTGTGGAAACTTCACACTGGACTTCAAGCATCTTGCAGTGTGTGCCTCTCCATTCTTCCTCCATACTCTGGGTCCTTGGTTTCCAAATGAGATGCAAAAGTTGCTCTCATCAGAAAAAGAGGACTTTGGACCACTGAGCAACAGACCAGGTTTGTTTTTCTTTAGCCCAGGTAAGACGCTTGTGATGTTGTTTGTTGTTCAGGAGCAGCTTGACAAGAGGAATATGACATTTGAAGCCCATGTCCAGGATCCGTCTGTGTGTGGTGGCTCTTGATGCACTGACTCCAGCCTCAGTCCACTCCTTGTGAAAGTCCCCAACACTTTTGAATAGCCTTTTCTTGACAATCTTCTCTGGGCTGCGGTCATCCCTGCTGCTTGTGCACCTTTTTCTTCCACACTTTTCCCTTCCACATAACTTTCTATTAATGTGCTTTGATACAGCATGTTTGGGAACATCCAACTTCTTTTGCAATTACCTTTTGAGGCTTTCCCTCCTTATGGAGGGTGTCAATGATGGTTTTCTGCACAACTGTCAGGTCAGCAGTCTTTCCCATGATTGTGATTCCTACTGAACCAGACTGAGAGACCATTTAAAGGCTCAGGAACCCTTTGCAGGTGTTATGGCTTAATTAGCTGATTAGAGTGGGACACTTTGAGCCGAGAATATTGCACCTTTTAACAATATCTAATTTTTTGAGATTGTGGACTTGGGGTTTTCATGAGCTGTAAGCCATAATCATCACAATTATGACAAATCACGGCTTGAACGACCTTGCTTTGCATGTAATGAGTCTATCTCATATATTAGATTCACCTTTTAATTTGCATTACTGAAATAAATGAACTTTTGCACGATATTCTAATTTTTCGAGTTTCACCTGTAAATATGAATGATAAATACAAATAATTAAACTACTAATTAAAAATTAAAACATGTTCCAAATGATCACAATGAATGTGTTATACAATGAAGTGCTCACAAAAAAAGCCTCTTTATCAAAAAGTTCATTGAAATGTGAATGAAAACAAGAAACAAAAAAAGCTGCCATCTTCCACACAATCGAATCTGTACCAAATTTTCCAATGAGTGGTCACTCACAACCACCCAGTAAATTGCACACATACCAAAATTATCAGCTACTGTAAATATAGCTACAACAGCCAGCTTGCTCTGAGCCAATTGCTCTCTTCTTGCTGTCTAAGCCTTGTAGAGGATATCGTCTCTGTTCTTTTCCCACAGCAGGGTTATGCACCGACATATGGTATAATAAGGAGCTGCTGCCCAAGAATCGATACAGTGGCGTGATGTCAGTGCACAGACTCCGTCCTATGCGTTTCGTCAAACAAAACAAGTAGCTCTATCCAAAACTCTAAGACCCAACTGTGCAAATGACAACTAGCCCCAAACAATTAGAGGAGCTTCTCCCAAGGTGTTGCCCCTAGGCATGAGCCTACCATGTCTTATGGAAAATCCAGTGTGCTTACGAAATGTTCTTTCCCTACTGTGGACCCTCTTGTGCTGTACTGTATATCTACCACCCTAAATAGTTAGGAAGAAAAAAATAAGTGATGCATTTTTGTTTTCTATATTCTAGATTTCTAGAACATTTCTTGTTTATTTAAAATTTCCCCCCAATCCACCTGACAGATTCAGGAATGCTCATTACCTGCTCAAATTTCCAGTTGTCAGACATTGTAGAGACCATCTGTGCCAGCTCTGCTTCTTGACATTGCAGCACTCGATAAACATGCTTTGGTTGGGACTGAAAGAGAAACTATATGTTTTTAATTGGCATTTATATTAAAGTGGACCTAAAAAATGGCACATATGATTCACAGAGGGCATGTGCAGTATAGTCAAAGATGAAAGCTGGAGATCAACCCCTGCAAACACTTTCGAAATTACAGCAACAGTTCTTTTTTTTTTTTTCATTTTTTTTTTTGGGGGGGGGGGGGGGACATAAATAAAAGGTTACCATGGTAATCACACCTATTAGTGTTATATTGTTTGTCTCAACCCTTTTAACGATCATTTTTGCATTGTGCACATGTGCAGAAAAAAAGTAATGACTGGGAAATGAAAAGGGCATTCATATACTGAATACAATAATTATAGGTAATAAAGCCAACCTTCACTTACAGCTTAGGCATTACATAACCCTAACCCTCACACCTCCCTATTACACGTCGGAATTTTTTTTTTTTTAGTAAGTACCTATTACAGCAGATGTTTTCTCCCACTTCCTCATTTCTAGCCTAGGTGAGGATGACATAGTCATAAGTCCACTATCCACTTGGAGCTTTTTGGGGTCGCACCACACATCCAAGAAAGCTTCAGGACAGTGTCCTCCAGTTGGTGCATCTTGAATATGCTCAGTAGGGCTGTGAGTGCTCAGTAAATCACAGTTCGCTCCTGAATCCAAGATGGCAGCACAGGAACAAAAAGTGAAGTTGTCCTTTATAGTCCTGTTATCCACCTTCCCTCCAATGTACTTGACATATTAAATACTTACCTTTCCTCCAAAGACCTTCACTGTGTACATGGTTAGACCCATACAGCCTTTTGTTGGAAATAGTACAGGACCCACGTCCAATGCACACCACCTATCCTATTCCTTCCTTTGGATGTGGGTGGGATTCCTGTGGGTAGATGTGTCTAGCATAAGCATGGCTCCATACGTTGAAATGGTACATGCACAGTGGAAACTCATGGTGCAGCCAGAACTATTAACAAAGAAAAGTTATATTGTGCCAGGCAAGGTCAGACAGTAAAAGTCTCTGGAGCATGGGTACACTAAGAGTGAGTTGCTATAATGATCATCTTGACTAAAAGTGAAGTTGTCTTTTAACTTTTCCCTGCTAGCAGGGTCATATGCTTTATTAATAAATCAACCCACCTCTGCTGGCAGGAAGGAGTTCCTGATGAGTACAGGCAGTACTTTGTCCTGTAACACTAGCTGGGATGCCAGACAAGGAGGCATTTGGGTAGTTATTTAAAAAAACATCTCAGTTATGGTTAATATTTGCATGTATTTCTTTTCCATTAAAAGTTATGCAACACAAGGAGTAAGACTTTCTAGCTTGGCTTTGGATTGCTTGCATTTGGAACAAAACAAGAAACTTTGACTAGACTGAGAGATTTCACAATTTACTTATTATTGAACACACACAACTGAAATGGCAAGGTCTAACCAGTACAGACCACAAAGTGTAACTAAGTACATCAATCCAGTGCAAACACCTCTGCAGGCAACAAGTTTTAAACATTTATTAAAGTGCAAACACACCCTAATGAACTTAGGCCGATAGCCGATAAATATATTTTGGTGGACTTTGATAAAGCGGCAAGCATTTAGAAAGAATTCACACTTTTATAGCCTTTAGTAATGATCACAGCCTAGTGTTTGCTTTTCCCAATGCTGCCTTCCATTACATTGCTTTGAATAGTAATGACCCAAGCTATATTAAATGGTTAAAGTAAAACAAAGATAGAATATGCAGCAAAAGAGAGGGGACGTGAAAAGAGAATCACAGAAAGTGGTTACATAATGGACAGAATGCGATACTCAAAGTAACTCCAAAAATTATGCTTTATTACACAGTACAAATGTGGACAAATGAGGTAAATACCTCAGTTCACTGTCACCTCAGTATGAGATAATACATAAACAGACCTAAAAACATGTAAAATCAAAAGTCAGGACCAAGTAGAAAAGTGCTGCAGACATAGTGACAATTGTCTAATACATTTGCAGCACCGACACAAAGGTTACACCGCCAAACAGGAGGTATATCAAAAAATTGCACCAATATAGGCATAGCCATGCAGTGCAATAATGGCTGATAACAAGTACCACGTAGTTGATATAATTGCCCATGAACCTAAACAGGTAATGTGGGCCAAAAAATATATATAGAGAGAAAGAGATGTGGTAGGCCTCTATGGTGGCCAAAAGAGGCAATAGTGACATGGAGAGTCAATATAAAAGTTCTTAGTAGTAAATATGCAATGGCGTGCATGCGCCGTGTTCCCTTTTAGTTATGCTGCAGTTCAATCACCACCCAAGCCTACGTCTGGATATCCAAATGCAGTCCCGGAGGCAGCTGCCACCATCGGGACTGTTGTCCAACGGGCTCCGCTCCCGCCCCGCTACTTGTTCAGCCTTGCATCACTCATGGCCAGCGTGTATGGCTGCCTCCCCTGATGGTCAGCGTGTATGGTGCCAATGCGTCTAGCTGGAAGTGACGTATCTGACGTATGACGTAGAATGTGACTTGATGCACCAAGTGATGTGCTTTCATCCCTTAATATATCCATACAACCAATGTATTTGTCCTGGGACTTTAAATGAGGCGCAACACACACACGACCAACGAATAACTAATTTCCAACATTAATTTTTAATAAATGAGTTAACTTCTCATTGCTTACAAAAAGAGGATAAAATGGCAACAAGCTGATTTGTATTAAAATCCTTATTAATGCATTTCATACACAATTGGATATACAGTACAGTTGACCATATACAATCCAGATGTCAATACATAATTACAATAAAATTGCATCCAAAAATTTGGATGCAATTTTAATGTAATTATGTTATGACATCTGGATTGTATATGGTCAACTGTATATACAATTGTGTATGAAATGCATTAATATGGATTTATTGCAAATCAGCTTGTTACCATTGTATCCTCTTTTTGTAAACGATGAGAAGTTTACTCATTTACTAAAAATTTAAATTGGATACTAGCTATTTGTTGGTCGTGTGTGTTGTGTCTCAATTAAAGTTCCAAGACAAATAAATTGGTTGTATTCTTAAAGCAAAAGTTAGGAAAAACAGCTTTTGTTATAACTCACCATTGGATTTCACCATAGGGATAAAAACAAGCTGAATTTGTTTTTGTAGCTGCAGTAGTTTGGGTCAGTTGTGACACACTTGTTCTTTGCCTGTTTTAACTGGTTCTGTTAATTCCCATAGCAAATTGTGTACTCACCAGAGTAAAACGTAGTCTTAAATACCTAGACAATTAATGTGATACCTTACTTTGGATAAGATAGGACAATTGGGTTGTCCTTGTGGCTTCTTCAACCTCTGGCCTCCACTGAGGAAAGAGGATTTTTGCTGAATAAGCGAACATATTGTTTTCCTGGGATATACACTGCTCAAAAAAAAATAAAGGAACACTTTTTAATCAGAGTATAGCATCAAGTCAATTAAACTCCTGGGATATTGATCTGGTCAGTTAATTGGTAGAAGGGGTTGTTAATCAGTTTCAGCTGCTTTGGTGTTTAATGAAATTAGCAACAGGTGTACTGGATGGGCAACAATGAGACGACCCCCAAAACAGGAATGGTTTTACAGGTAGAGGCCACTGACATTTTTTTCCCCTGCTCATCTTTTTTGACTGTTTTTCACTAATTTTTCATTTGGCTAGGGTCAGTGTCACTACTGGTAGCATGAGGCAATACCTGGACCTTACAGAGGTTTCACAGGCAGTCCAACTCCTCCTCCATCATCAATACGTGCCATTGCCAGAAGGTTTTGCTGTGTCTCCCAGCACAGTCTCAAGATCATGTAGGAGATTCCAGGAGACAGGCAGTTATTCTTGGAGACCTGGACAGGGCCGTAGAAGGTCCTTAACCCATCAGTATCTGCTCCTTTACACAAGGAGGAACAATATGAGCACTGCCAGAGCCCTACAAAATGACCTTCAGCAGGCCACTGGTGTGAATGTCTCCGACTAAAAAATATGAAACAGACTTCATGACGGTGGCCTGGGGGCCTGACATCCTCTAGTGGGCCCCATGTTCATTGCCTGGCAACATATAGCTCAATTGGTATTTGCCATTGAACACCAGAATTAGTAGGTCTGCTGCTGGCACCCTGTGCTTTTCACAGATGAGAGCAGGTTCCCCCTCAGAACATGTGACAGACATGGAAGGGTCTGGAGAAGCCTTGGAGAAAGTTATGCTCCCTGTAACATCCTACAGCATGACCGTTTTGTTGGTGGGTCAGTGATGGTCTGGGGAGGCATATCCATGGAGGGATGCACAGACCTCTACAGGCTAGACAATGGCACCCTGACTGCCATTGGGTATGGGGATGAAATCCTTGGACCCATTGTCAGACCGTACGCTGGTGCAGTGGGTCCTGGGTTCTTCCTGGTGCATGACAATGCCCGGACTCATGTTGCAAGAGTATGCAGGCAGTTCCTGGAGGATGAAGGAATTGATACCATTGAATGGCCCCCATGCTGGCTTGACCTAAATCCAATAGAACACCTCTGGGATATCATGTTTTGGTCCATCCAACGCCACTAGGTTGCACCTCAGACTGTCCAGGAGCTCAGTGATGTCCTGGTCTAGATCTCGGAGAAAAAAATATCCAAGGACACCATCCATTGTCTCATTAGGAGCATGCCCCGACATTCTCAGGTATGTATACAAGTATATATATGTGAAAGTGTTATAAGCAAACTTTAAATAAAAACTGTGAAGTCCATCAATCAGTCCATCAAATAGTTGTTAGCTCTCACTATCCTATAACATCATAGTTCAAGATGTTCAGAAATTCTTCTAACGATCTCCCATGTGCATGTACCTCAAAAAAAGGAAAATAACATATAGTGCATTATCCTTTATATAACATAAACTTAATTCATCTCACACAATCCAGTGACCAATAGTGATAGTGGTGAAAAAAACGGTGAAAACGGTGAAATAATCAGTGAAAACACTGTGTGTGTGAATCACCCTTC